ATCTAGGTAAGAAAATCATTATTGGCTTTTAATTAATCAGACAGAAAGTAGCTTGATGAGTCCTCACACATGGGTCTCTGTAGGCTCTCCAGGAAATAAATGGGAATTTCCTTCTCAGGCTGTAAAATGCCTGGCTGCTGAGGCAGAGTTAGCAAGCAGCTGAATTCTGGGTTTCAGCAAAGTTCTGTGTGTCGACAGACCAACTGTTACCTCAGTGCGAAACTCCTTGCCCTGCCCATGTCCTTCAGGCATAGCAGAGTGGAAAGCAGGAGCGAGGAGGTGAGCTGTTGCAGTAGTGGTTCCTCACTGGTGGCAGGAGAGGGTGAAGCACCAGGATACATGAAAGGATTTCAGCAAGATGAAGAGTAAAGTTCTGCACTATTTTCCTTTGGTTTAATCTCTGCCACCTGCCATGAGGCTCTCGTGTGATTTGAGCCTGAGAAGGCCCCATTTTATTCAGTTCAGTTTAATCGCTGCATTTAAATATGTGTGTAAAAAAAAAAGAGAAAACAACAACAAAAAAAACCCCATCTGCATGAAACCAAATTTGATATTTTCTCCCTCTCTTAACGTGATCCCATGAATTTCTTGCATTGTTGTGTCCCATGTACTAAGGGTCCCATGCAGAGAGCAAACAATAAAGCAGCGAGAAGACAGATGCTCTGCTAATGGGAAACCAAGGAGAAGAGAGTCTGTGAGGGATTACAGGCAGCCTGGGGTTGGAATACATTATTAGCATAGCACCCAATTCAGAAATTAGTTTTCAGAATTAAATGCCTGAAGCGTTTTGGCAAAAACTCCTGATCATCCCTCTCAAAAGCCCTTAAAGCATAAAAGAGTAGGAGTCTCAAGTCCAGGCTGAGTGATGGCTTTCGGTGACTGCAGAGCTCTAACAGCCAATTGTAGTTTTTACGGCTTCGTACCATTACCGGGGCAGCAACTGCCACACCTACTGAAATGTAACCCACTCGGTCTGCTTGCACAAACCTTTAGCAGGTTTTGAACATCCTCATCAAAGAAGAAAATGGGCCTGAATGAGATTCCAGGGTCTGTTTCCAGGAGGAAGGTTTTGTTTTGTTGAGTGCGTAACAGCAGGGAAGTGCATCAGCCTCTCCTGGGGCACGGTTAGGCATGCGAAGGAGAAGCGACATGTCTTTTCAAAGATCTGACGTTGCCTAAGGTAAAAACTTCAGGTCCTGAAGCCTTTTTCAGGCATGCTATTTTCTGAATGTTTTTGCTTTTGAAAATCATGATGAGAACATCAAACTTTAAAAGACCCCGGGTAGACAACTGAGATTGGTTACAGGACTGAGGGCAGTCAGGAGAAATTGTTTCTCATAGTACTTGGTGGGATTATCCTCCATGCATAATTGTTCATTATATGCTCAAAATACATTGTTAATTTCTTTTGGATATATTGCACATTAGACAGAAGAGTTATAAACCCCAAGATTATCACAGGAGGACACTAACAGGCCTAAATATTCAGCACAGAGGGGACTTGTTTTCCTCTTACATTGAAACAAAGACTCTTGGACAGAATCATTAGAGATTTTTTTTTGCCTGTTTGATAATCAAAGTGTATTGGACAGCAAACAAAAGAAAAGTTCGGCCAGCCAAGTCTTCTATTTTATTTTTACTCTTCTATTCTAACATAATTAACATATTTCTCAAGGTTTATATTAGTTTCCCAGAGTCTTATTTTATATAAGTATCACTGGGAAGCTTGATTACAAAGTCTTGATTCATACATATAAACTGAGGTTTTATTATCCTGGCAGAGGATTCAAGGACAAGGTAAATATGGGATCAAATGAAGAAATTGGGAAACGTAATATGCCAGCTCTTCAACATATACTTGTTTTCTCTGCATCCTGGTAACTAGCAGCTTATTTCTAAGTCACAGTGAGAGTAAAGGGTGATACTTCATTCTGAACTTTGAATTTCAGAGCTGTTCTTTGTGTAACAACTTCTTTCAATGTTTTTATATATGCCTATCTTTCAGCGTTTTTTATATGCCTAATGAGCATCTATAATGAATATTTAGGAAAGTCCAAAATTGCACTTATTTGTCCTGGATATAGACTGTCTGTAGACTTTTGAACATTTCTGTCTAGTTCGAGGTGGATCTGTGTCTACATCATCTTACTGGTCTGCCAATAAAATTTTTTAAAAAATTAAAATTTCTAGCACATGAAACCCTTATAGAGTATGGTTAGAAATGAGCCCAGTACTGCTTACATCCCGACTGCAGTTGTAAGTATAAAACACTGTGTGTACAGTAAGAATAGCTGTGATTTCGCTTCTCCACTAAGGTCTTGCCTATCAGCCTGTGTTACTTCACTGCCTCCCCCAATCTGGTTTTCACATCTCCAGATCGTGAGGGAGGGCCAGTGTGCGCCAAAGCTCTTTTTCCCCCTGCAACTGTGTCAGTAATAAAAGAGGCTACAAGTCTGTAGAGCATAATCTCCTCTTCTGTTGCAGTTACCTAGTTGACAAGCTTTGGGGGATGAGTGCTGCTTCTGTCCAGCCCCTCTGGGAACGCACCCCTGGCGAGGCCCTTGGGTGTGCTGAGAGATTATAATGCGGCCGTTCTGCCTTGTCTGCAGTCTGGAGCAAGTCACAACTCCTCTCATTGCACACACAAGATTTGTGAAGGTTAATCATAAAGTGCTTCAAAGACAGAGATTGCCAATTTTAATTAGTATTGTAAGACTTTGTTTATAAGCTCTGCTTCTAAAATGGAAAACTTAGCACAACAGCCCTGTTTGAACTCTTCCAAGTTAAGAACAAACACTACAAAGCAGAAGTTGACAAGTGAGCTACAAAAATGTGAAGAAAAGCATTTTTTGTTTACCTTTTTAAACAGTGGTGTCCACACATTCCATCATGTAGAAAATGGTGCTGCTGGGATCTGAGGCTATTGTTCTTTTCCAGTCCAAATCAATTTAAAGCACAAGCAGAGCTGAATCCAAACCCCTGATCCCACTGAATCAGGTCTCCAGTTTTTCCGGGATCACCACTGTGATCAGAAAAGAGTGTAGTGGTAAGGGACAGCTCCCCGAGCCCCTGAAATATTTTATCACTGCTATTAGACTTACTGCCATTTTGCAAAGTCTTCTTAATTGGGTAATCCAGTTCTGGATGTGTTAGACAAATAACAATTCTCTTATTAAAAGCAAATCATGGTTTTAATTTAATAGGGTTAGTCATATAAAGAGTGATTTTGTGTCAGCAAAACCTTCCTTTCTGATGAAGTGTAATTTATGACAATCTAGATGGCAATAAATGACATTAATCTGACCACTGTGCCATTCTGTTCCTGGGGAATAATGTTCCCCCTTAATCAATAGCTGAGTAAATGCTCCTTTGCATTCCTTATCAAATGACAGCCAGATGGTACTGGTAAATTCATTCCAGCAGGATTTTAGAATTAGCTGGGTTTGTACTATTGTTAATCCTCTGCTGTCTGTGCCATTAGCACCTACCCACCTGTTTCCAGGAACCCTCGAGTTCGCAGCCTTAGGAAATAGTCTGGCCAGATGGTTACTCAGATACAGTGAGGCCAAGAAGCATCCCAAGCGGTGAGGCCTTTTTTCTGTGAAGAATCAACAAAAAGCAAAATAACAGCATCTTGCAGAAGCAACAGTGTCTTGCTAGGACGGCCCACTTCTGTATTTATTCCTTGATACTCTGGTCTCTTTCAGTGAAGTTTCAGAGTTTCTTGAGGTTACGTGAACTGTGTTGCTTAGCAAGTTGTAAATTTGGAGCTATGACAGCTGCTGTACCATCATTTACTGACTTTTCTGGGCCCGTCAAAGCATCTGCAAGACCTTTTCCTTCATAATCGCTTTGTTGCATAGGAACAATAATTTTGTCTACAACCTATTGATCTGAAATAATATGTAATCCCCTCATGCCAATGAAAAGGAAAACATATGGCAGCTCTAGGCTGGCAACCACTGGCTTTTGAAGTGAAGGGACAGTTAATCCCCACTAAATCAAGTAGGGAATGGAGCAAGCTTTAAGCTCTGTTGGGCTGAGGCGCTGAGGGTGCATTAGATGCCTGAGCCAATTAACCTGAGTTCTGGGAGAAGAGTCCAGCTTACATCCACCCTTCCCATTCCCTCTCTTTTATCTTGGGCAACTAAAGTACATTTCAGGTGAGCTTTGCTGCAGCCTTAATTGCTGAAATAAGCATCACCGTGCAATACCACACACATACCTGGGCACCCCTTCCCTCTGGCAGGAAAGAGTGCACAGGCAGCACCTCGCTTCTGTGGGGCTGCAGTGGGTGAGGGTAAAGTTCAGCCACTGCAAATACCAGTTTCAAAATTACATTGCTGGAGTTCTTCAGGCAAATGCTTCTTGCCTGTAGGGTGGTTGGTTGGTAGGTCAGTCATCTGGCCTGATAACCTCAGTATTTTTTGTACCCCTCTAAACACAGGGCTAAAGAGCCCAAGCTCCTATGACTGGACTCTCAGATTCTTCCCTGGATAAAAAACTTGGTATTTACAAGGTGGCTAAATCCCCCTTGGGCCTGTCTTCATTTTTCTAGCCTGTGTAGCACTCAGTGAAATGTAGGTCCAAAATCTGAGGTCAGTAAGCATGTGGTCACTAATTTGAGCAGGATCCAGAAGGTGAGTCCTATGTTACTTACTTACCCAACAACAACAGCCAAAAGAGCAAATTCAAGCTCGTTCCAGCAAACCAAATGCAAACTTAAAAACAAAAATAGGTTTAAAAAATAAAAACCAAAATAATTTGTTACATTGGGAATCTCAATGGAAATCTTGCAGTGGAGCAGAAGACCAAGCTGGTATTGGAGCATGCTGCAAGAGCGGAGCGAGGGCTTCTGTGTCGCTGCCTCCCAAACCTGTTGTAGAGTTTGCTATCACATACAGCACAGGCTGGGAAATAGTGAAGCATTCACTTGCAAGGTATTTCTGCAGCTAGAGGAGTGGCTACTAATAATCCTGTCTTTTCTCTTGTTTGAACAGTATTCAGGTTTTCAGCAAACAGCAGACAAGTGCTTTGTTTGTGGACACCTCATAATGGAAATGGTAAGAGACCTAAACCCCTAACCACGGGTTAGCTTGCTTTTCCACATCCTTTGGGTAGTGCACTGTGAAACGTTGTGCTTTTTCTGTAGTCAGACTATCATTGTGTCATCACTGCTGTCAATGTATTTTTTGAAACTGATAAACAAAAATACCTTCATGCTCTATTGCTATTAAGTAAATTGGGCTTCTTTTCTACCTGACGTCATGGGAGGCTGTTGTTCTCCCACATGCCAGTTTAAAAAGAAAATAAATAAAATTTTAATACTAAGGAGTGAAAATATAGCACAGGTTTCTCTGAGAACATGGTAAAGGAAAACAGAAGGTGACAGAAGAATAGCAAGAGCTCTGTCAAGTGGATGGAATCTGGACTAGAGGGGGACATTATCAGTAGTCCTGAGGTTTGCTGCCTGCTCTATGATTTGCTCTATTTACCTTCTGCCACTTGTTCCACATTAGTTAAAATGCATTGTTGCCACTGGGATTTGTAAGGAGCCAGTAGTCAGCGTTACTTTTATAATAAAAAAAAATAAAAAAAATCAAAGGGCTGTGGGTTGAGCCGGATACTCCTGGCATGATTTCAGTGGGTGAAAGTAGGAAGAATGCAGTCTGTTCTTCCTGAACGGAAGTGCCCAAATAAAATGGAGTGGCTTGCACGTTGAAGAAGTGCCGATCACGTATATCTATTTTCCTCTTGCTTTAAAATGTGCCCGAACCTCAGTATGCCTAATGGAAGCAGCTATCGCGTTGCAAGCACAGAGATTCAGTAGGAGCTGGAACAGAGACTTCACTAATGAGGATTCTGGCTCATATCCTGGCACCACTGGTTGGACAAGGATATTGTTCGTTTTAGCCCAAGAGCAAATTTCTAGAGTTGTGTCACGCTGGGAGGGGGAGGGGTATCCTGACTTGCATGCTTTGAGCTGGCCCTTAATTGCAGAGTCCCAGGCAAGAGGCCATAATATCTCATTGGTGGAGCTCAGTAGCTGGAAGCTTGGCAGGTGCTTGTCTGCCTTTCTTCCATCAGCAAGTGTGCTCTGACAAAAGGAAACAGCTCTGGGAGCTCTAGGAATTAAGCTGTCTTATTTGGCTAATTCCTCCGTGTTCCTCCCTGGGAGCGCACAGACAGCAAACGTGCCCGCGCGCAGCTCGGGAGAGCTGTGGCCCTGCTGGCCCGGGCACAGCCAAAGCCGTTCCTGCTCAACGTGCACTTGAGTGAGAAATTCTCTGTGCAAGGGGGCGGCAGCACAACCTGCCATGCCAGCAGCCACTGTTAGGGAGCAACACACGCACGGAGTTGTTTCTGGCTAGGAACAGGCTGGCAAACCAAATGGGGTCTGATGCCGCTCACCGAACGCAGAGCTATAGGGCTTCATTACAGGGGAAAAAAAGGTTAAGTTAAATTGACTTTCTGCATTTTTTATTACACGCCACTTCTATTTGCTGTTAATTTGATCTTTATTCATAGAATTACCTACCAGGTCATGAGAGCTTGGCCTGTGGAAATTTGTCACCTTGAGCTTATTAGCAGCTCCAAGCAGAGCACTGCTGCTAGCAGAATACTTTTTGAAATTACCTTCCAAAGGTATTTCTTATACGTGAAATGCATGCAATTGGTGCTGTAACCCATTGAGAGCTGCCTGAAGGTGATACCATATCTCATTCTTCCCAGAGGCTTGTTCAGGGGCTTGGAACGTCCTCCTTGATGTCCCAGTGCCATGCTGAGCACACATACAAGGACAGCAGGAGGGGGATCTGTTCTGTAGTCATGTGGCTCAGACTGCATTAGGCTTTTTCTTAAAACCTTTAAAATGCAATAGGGAAGGTCAGCATGGGAAAAGCCTGGGCAGATGAGTGGATCTGTATCTGAATACATGGATACAGGTGGAATTTTAACAAAAACCAGTGCACTCCTGTGTCTGAGTAATAACCAGTCAGTAACTGTGGTGGATTAGGCTACTTAAGTAGTCAAGGGAAAACTATTTATTTGCTTGTTTTCTTATTTTACTTTTTGAGTAGTGGCTGGTTTGGATTCTGTCTGTCACAGCCTGTTAAGTTTTGTGAATTAACTCTGTATCCCAGTAGCTTGTATTTGGCTGCAACAGATTTTTTCCAAGAAGTGGTCTCTGAAGCAGTTTTTAATTTCTGTTGGCAGTATTGGCCCCGCAGAGCTAGGACTGATGGGCGTTGGCCTGATTTTCACAGTTCTCTCTCTTTATTGGGAGCCTACCGAAACCCACTGAAATAAGCAAGTTGATTGTTTTAAAAGGCCCCTTGCTGACAGATCTGCAGAGTGGTGATTTCATCCTGAAGTGCTTTTCTCACTATCATCATTAAGAACTATATGGGGAGAGGATCCCATGGAATCATGCATCCACTTATTTTGCTTTTTTGCCTCTTAAGATCTTACAGGCCCTTGGAAAGTCGTATCATCCTGGCTGCTTCCGCTGCGTGGTGTGTAACGAGTGTTTGGATGGAGTCCCCTTCACTGTAGATGTGGAGAACAATATTTACTGTGTCAAAGACTACCATACGTAAGTACACAAATCCATCGCATGCTTGGAAAAATTGCAGTAGTTAAATTATTGGTATAGTTATAAGCCTTGCAGTAGACAAGAAGGGCCATTCCTGTTTGCTCAGATGTCCTGCAAGTGCTGCTCTCACATACTGCATTTGTGAAGTATTTTAAAGTTATGCTGAAGGTCACTTCATAGGCCTGGTGTAGCGTACAGCGGCCAGGTGAGGTTGAAAATCAAGTTCTTTCAGAACATGTACTTCTCTGGTGTCTGCTACTCTGCTTCTTTCAGGACTTTCAATTCAAATTAGATCAGGCTACAGAGTCAGGGTTTTGTTAGTGCACAATATTGGTGAGTATAAGCTAAGTTAACTTAGTAGACATGTAGACACGTAATTAGCAGCTACCAATAGAATGATTTTAGCCTCACCTGACAAAAAGTTGTGTGTGTTTAAGTTGCTACTTTTGGACTCCTTTGTGCTCTTGTTCAAAAGCAGCACGAATGCTCATAGCTCCAGTCAACCATACTCAGCTTGTGCAGCAAGCGTACATCACTCTGACCTCAGCCCTATTGGTACCAAGTTGACTGTGTTACAAGGATAGCTTAAATGTTGGCCCAGTGATTGCTGTAAAATGCAGATGGGGATATTAAGATGTGTTGATGTATTTGGTATAAGTAGATCCTAGCCGTGATCAGCCCCTCTCCTATTCAGCATGGTTACATCTTCCTGATGTCAGATGGTGACAATCCACAGGTCGGGAGCTGCTTTGCAGTCAAAGCAGTGAGTCACTGGAAGAATTTGAGTGGCTTTATGAGTAAAAGAAAGTAAGAGAAAGGGCATAGAGAGGAAGAGGGCTGGATTCACTATGCCTAGAGGTCACTTAGACCTAAGCAATAAAGCTTGAGGTAGATCAGCCTCTTCCAAATCTCCTTTTCCCTGAATATCATCAGTTAGAGGTGTTTCAAATCCTGTGGATCTACATTTCACCAAAAACAAGACATGCTTAGAATAGCTCTCTTGGTTCTACTTTTTGAAGGATCTTGAAATGTGATTTGAACGCTTTCTGCTTGCACCCTAGGGTTTTTGCACCAAAATGCGCTTCCTGTAACCAGCCGATCCTACCAGCACAGGTATGTGTTAACACGCACTGAGTCTTTAGAGAAGACAGCTGTTGGCTTATCAACACTTTCTAAAAACACATTAGACGCTGTTCCTTTTCCAGAATCTATACTGTGTTAGATACTATATTAAATACAGTTCAGCAATAATGTCACTCCCAAACATTCCCAGAGGTAGTAACAGTCATAGTACTTATGCGCCACAGTACTTTGTACCTTTAGGGTGCTTTCCAGGCCTTAATTATGCTGTTATAAATCTCACTTAATTGAAAGCCCTGACTGGGACTCCAGGAGCAACCCAAGAAGTAAAGCCCTGTTTATTTTTAGAATCTCCCATTAGCTCAAGTAGTAATTTTTCTTGTCTGCCACATTTGCATTTCTGATGTGGATCTGTTAAGATGACCAACCTGAAAAGACATCCAGGGGCCACCCTGACCTTGTGAAAAGGCCACAGAGTGTTTTTCCTGGGGTGGCGATGTGATGGAACTGCTTAAAAGGGGTGGAAAAGGCAGCAGAGAACTTGGCTAAAAGGGAAGCCAGATGAATGATGTGCTTGTAACCTCAACCTATCCTGACAGTATAGTTTGGACAGTAAGATTTCTGCATTAAAATACCCTTTTCTACTTGCCTGCAGTGGTGTTCCCTCATACTCTGGTGGGTGCAGGACCCTCTGAGTTTCCTTTACAGAGGTCATTGACAAGCTCATTTCTAAGCAAGGGTCTTAGCGCCTCCCTTCTTTTCCTGTTATGTTTATAGAGGCAAAGCTTGCCCCCTATAAGCTGCTGTCCCCTGGGAAAGCCTGTGGCTAGAGCCTCAGCATGCCCACCTCCATCATTCTGCACGCTACTCCTTATTGTCATTATTATTATTATTGTTGTTAAATGGCCAGGTCTCACATAATTAAAAACTTTATAAAGGCTGAGCTTTGTCCTGCTTGTGCTGGTGATGGGATGCAAGCAGAAAATTCCTATGCAAATTTCACTGGACTTACTTGTGTCTTACAAAATTACTTTTCTTAAAAAAAATTTAGTCCTCCTGACTCATTTGCTGGCTAGCAGAATAGACTCCACGTTCTTTCCCGTGAAGTTTCTTAGGTTAGTTCAAGTCTAGCAGTGCAGGTACTAACTTGTTTCCACAGTTTCTCTCAGACGTAGTCTACGTCATATCTGATGCTCTTAACCACACCTGGAACTGGAAACAATGCAAGGCAACAAATCTAATGAGCTCCGTCTTCACAGTGCATCAGGGAAAAGTCTGTGAGGTTAGAAGAGGGGTATAGGCTGCTCCGCAGGGCCTGGGGCTCAGCTGGGAATTACGCAACTCCACTGTATCCATCCTCACGCTGTGGTTTTGGCCTGTGCACATAATTACCTGCCGGACTGGTATGTAAATCCCTATGGGGTACATACAGTGACATGTGCATGTGCAAAATAGCTGTGCAGCAGATGGTCTGAGGGGAATACAAGTCCTGGAAAACTCAGGCCAGGATTGTGTACAAAGAAAAGTTACCCAATCAGCAGGCCATAGTTTTTGACTAGTAATTCGTTCAGATCCCGGGTGCCCTTGGAAAATTACTTTATTTCAAGACTAATTTTTCCCTTGAGGATGAAGTTTTGGCTACACTTCTAAATGACCTCTACAGCTTAGGTATGTCAGGCACCCACACTGCTGCTAAACAGCAAAACCAGCAGTGCAGTGCTGTACACCAGGAGACAGGACCCTGAGCAGTCACAGAGCTCTGCTCTGTGGAGGAAGAGTGGAGCCCCCAGGGAAACGGCTCTTCAAAACGATAGGTTTGGGCACTGGAAGAAAATTGAGAAAAACCCCACTTACAAGCCCACTCTTAACCTCTCACTGCTTCCCCAACAGGGCTCCGAGGAGACCATTCGGGTGGTGTCAATGGACAAAGACTACCACGTGGAGTGCTATCACTGCGAGGTACGTGAGCACCAGGGGCTCTGAGGAGACTTGAATTCACATTGCCTGTGCAGGGTAGGACCCTCACTCCAAAAGTGGAAGGTTTTTCTAGGGCATCTGTCTTTTCTCCATGCTGAATAAGTATTGATTCTTTATTAGAAAACAGACAGGGATACTGCTGACTTCCACTTTTTGAGGAATAGTTTCTTTTTATGCAGAACATTTAAACATTTATTGTTACTTCGCTGTTACTTCGGAGAGGAGAGCTGAGATCGGTTGTGGCTCTGCATCTGGGAACGTGAGGAGGGAAACAGACTCTTTAATTTGGGTTCAATCCAGAAGTTCCCTTTTGCTGGAGTTTTGGTGCTCTGATATAACATGGAAATAGTTACATAGATCTTAACTGTGCTGCTTGTCTCGGCACCAGAGACAAAAATGCAGCAGTACTATCTTCCATGCACTTTTGCATAGAAGAGCTTTTACAAAGAGGCTTCCAACTGAAGCAGAAAATAACAGAATTCCTGCTTTTCTGTATCATCTCTTTCGTGTCCAGCCGCTTAACCTCTGGCTGGTTTACAGATCAGCGGACTCCCATTCTAAAACTGAAATCCACTGAGAACACGGGTTTTATCACTGCAGAAAAGGAATAGAGTTTTGGAGAGGGAAAAAGGTATGAACACTTCACACAGCTGTAGGGTATCTGAAATATTTAAAAATCAATTCCTCTTTATAATTTAACACTTACATAAAGGACAAAGTTACTAAATAACATAGTAACAGACAAAAAAACTACTTTGGCAGAAACTTTGATTAAAGCCGCCCTAAACTAACATTCTAGTTCTAAAGCTTAATTTAAAAATCATTTTTCATTCTTATTTCAGCCTTGTAAAATTTGAGGATTTTAAATTGAGCTATGAAAGCTGAAGAATCATTCCCTGTGTCCAATTAAAAAGTTTGCATTGTTTTTCAGTACTAAAATGACCTAAATAAACTACTTGTTCAATTTTTTTTTTCCCCTCCCTTTCTCATAAGCGTGCAGATACATACCCAGAATATCTGGTTTGCCAGGGCTGGTCACAGTAACAATTTTTAAATACCGAACATTAGATCCAAGCAGAAGACTGACATGACTTTTGAATGGCTTCAAAATCATAATGATGACATCTGAGAACTAGGATTGACTCTGTTGCAGTAAATAATAGTCAGCAGGCAGGATCACTGTTGGTTGTTTTTATCTCTGTTTCTTCTGTTCACCCATGTCGATCATGTAATTATGTACTGGTCCCTGAGGTACTAACTTATTTCCATGGAAGATGGACTATTGGCCTTGAAGTCCGTAATTATTTTTCTTTTAAATTCCAAATTAATTAGAGAAGATATAGCCCCGCTTCAGAAGTAGAACATGTCTCATCTGCCCCTCTTCCCCACTCCTCTCATTCTGTGTTCACACTCCTCCATTTCTTGCTTGCTGCCTTACTGCAGAATTAGCTCCTTCTCTGTTCTAACCTCTTCCAGGTTCTATGTGTCAGGATCAGTCCTTGGCATGTGCATCAATAAATATCAGATGAAGAAGAGACCAGGATGGGAAACAATGTGGGGGAAAAGTGTGCTGGATACTACTGTAGACTGTCCTGTTTGATTTTGGTGATGCCATTTTGCTTCATAGGAGATAGTCAAGGACCACCTACCAAAAAATTCTCGAGGTTGCTGGCTTTGGAGGCATGGGAGGGAGCTCTCAGTGTTCCACAGGATAGATCAATGTTGTTGTGAGATGACCTACCCGAATCGCTCACTAATCTGGGATATTTATGTTTCTTCTAGGACTGTGGCTTGCAGCTCAATGATGAGGAAGGCCATCGTTGTTACCCCTTAGAGGGCCACTTGCTCTGCCACGGCTGTCATATCAGGCGCCTTAATATTAAACTGCCATCACATCCACCTCCGAGCTATCCAATGCACGTCACGGAACTCTGAAAGACATTTCATAATTGAAAGAAGCCGTTTGAAAGAGAGACAAAAATCTAAAAATGACTTCGTGTTCCTTTAAAGATGAGATTCCAGTAATAACCATCTAAACCAGCTATTTATTTTTTAAATCAGAGGTGAGGGGTCCTTTTCCAATCTTGTACATATGCATTCTTTTATCTAGACATTTTCACTGAGACACCATCTACTTGAACAAATAAGTCAACGCTAAACTGTAACTCTAAATGGCAGCATTTCTAAAAACAATGGTACAAAGGGCTGTTCTGCACTCCTTACTCCGTTTCCTTCAGTGGAGATTTTGCCCAAGTGAGGAGTGTAGAATTACTTTCCAAAAGTTAGCACCTTATCATATTGCAGCAAGCATGATAAGATAAATGCTAGCATTTTAGCTAGTTTTGTTGAATTCTGGTCTTAGAGAATACAATCTCAATTATTATTTTTTTTAAAAAACTTAGATTCCCAGAAGCAGTGAATAGAAAGCAAACAAGTGGTTTTTAGCAAGGACAGTTTTCAGCATGGGTGAAATAATGGCATTCTGTGAAGAAGTGTAAGGCCAGCGTTCCATCCTACATGGTTCCAAAGACTATTTAGCTTGTTAAAGAAATATGGCAAGCATCTCACATAAAAAACACATTACAGAGGAATATATCCAAAAGATTGGCACATGCAGGGTCATAACAATTGAAGAAAGTTGCAGACCTCTGTAAGTAATGGCTGTGTACAAATGTAGCCATGGTTTCAAAATGCATTCATACCTACTTGATGATTTGGCACTTACTAAAGAATTCATCCTTTAAACCTGTTGTTTGTTTAACAGGGTTAGCAGCCCCTTTCTATGCAAAGCTACACTTATCTTTATACTACTTGTTTTATACAAGACTTATTTGTTACCAACTGCTTTATGATTGTATGTTGATACGTTATTAAAAAAAAAGAGGGGGACAGTGGTTTTTGTATTATCCTTTTCAGCTTTGTGTTCTTTTCTAGATATACTTTTGAACTGATTACAGTGATTGTCTTCATTGAAAAACAAAGTATGGTTTAGCAGAAGTAATAGAGAGTCAGACCATCGAAACATTGGTATTTTATAACAAGTATTAGATGTACATAGAATGTACACACTTTCATATTTGCATAAGCTTTTACAGTAACCTCAGAGCTCTGGGGAAATATGTGTCTTCCATATAGGAAGTTAGATGAATCTTTTTTATGGTTTGTTTTCTACCATGTGTTGATGATTTACATGCAAATCACACATCTGTATGTTTAAAAAATTCCTTGCATTCTCATGAGAATTGATCCAGCCTTCCTGAATTTATATTTTAAATAAATCCATCATTGCTGTCTTTAACTGTATCCAAAATTACAATACTATAAAACTCCTCTGCTCTAGAGGAAGTAAAAATACCAGACCAGATTTTCTGCATGTGTAAATTGGGACATTTCCATGCCAGTACTCAACACATCAAAGATCTGAGAGATCCATTCGGAAACGATCCCATGTTAAATTCAGCATGCAGGCTGATGAAATTACTTATTTGGCAACACCATTACAGTTTAGTTTCTTATGCTCCATTGACTTTTTGAAAGCCATTTGTAGTGCTCTTCCAAAGTACAAAGAGCAGCCAATGGACACTAATTCCTAAGTGGAATAATTAACTCCCTTAACAGAACTTTTTGATAGTCTGGAATTTCCTTATGGGGGAAAGAAGGGGGAGCAGGAAAAATTCCTGTGAACCATTTTTTTTTTCTTTTAGTAAAGGAACAAAAGGTATGTTTCTGAACTTCTGCCAAACTTCCGTGGGCCTAGATTAACCTGTCCTACTGAATGCTTCTTGGCAAGTCTGATGCTTCTTTAAAAAGTCATTTTATAATTAATACATATCAGTTTGTAATTAACACATTTAATGTGATAGCCATGGTTTGAAGGAATTACAGTGCAACTAGTGCCCCATTTCTACAGCGTGACCTAAGAGGTCTGACCTGCAAAAAGAAAGGACGCTGGGTTCATGTAGACTTTTTCTGCATTTGCAAACATTACCTCTGTGTCCAGAGTCACCAACCCAGCCTCAGAAGACAGTGGAAGTACACATGCTTCTCATCCAAACAGCAAATACTAGAAAAGAGAGGGAAAAAAAAATTGTCTTAAATTGGATTGTATGACTAGGTCATTTTGCTAGAACCATAGAAGATACCAGAGCTTCAGGATAAACTTTTCACATCAGCTGCAGCATATTAATTTTTTCATTTAAGGAAGCTGCTTTGGACTACATTTAGCTTTAAGACATTTTTACTTGCTTTTCTTTACAATATGTATTAAGGAACCCGAATTAAGAAAATGATCCTTAAAATACACAGAGAAGGTTTGAGTCTATCCCTGGGAGCATGTCATCCCCTAACAGTACTCACTGTACTGGGGGCAAAAAAAAAAAAAAAAAAACCAAAAAAAAAAAAAACAAAGAAAAACCCAACCCACAAACTTTGCTCTATCAATACAGAAGCAAAAAATCCTTCAAAAATCCCAGTGGCCAGAGATGGAGGTGACTTACTCTGGCATTCAGCCCAGTCTTCTGCCAGTACCTCCCTTAGCACTTTGCCACCTTCTCTGCCAACTTTAAGTTTCAGCTCCTACATGCTTTTCAAGGGACAGCACACTAACATGTACATACCATACCTTTTCCTCTCTCTCTTTTGAAAGCAATCGTACTGTACAACAGAATAATATTTAATTTCATTTCACATGTTAATTTGTCAGTCTCTTGTAGTTCTACTCAGTTCCAATGTGTTAAGTATCAGCCTGGTAAAAAGTATCAAAAGGTAATATTTCAATGATGACTAAACAGTGTTTAAAACCAGAAAGCAGCAGTTGTTGTTCCAGTATTTTCTATAGACAGGTGCATTCCATAGCTGTATAATGAAGTACAGCCTTGCTTTTCCATCATGTAGGATCAAAACTGGAGCTTGAGTGAAATTTGCCAGTTTTGTTGGTTTGGGGTTTTTTTTTCAATCAAAGAGAAAAATAAAAGTGAATCTAAAATAATGATGTGCTGTACTCTTTAGTGCTAGTGACAGTTTCTGCACATTTTACCCTCTGTCTGGGAGAATTACATAAATGAGAAAGCTTCTTTTAATGATTTTCTTAAGGTATATTCTTCTGTTAAATCAGTTCAACACAGACATATTCTAGAGTTCATTTTATGATGTGATTGTTCTTCAGAAGCCTTTGCTGTACTTTCAGATTATTTCCATAAAGTTAAAACAGTAACAACTTGTTCTCATTTGCATCAGGACCTACACCTTTCCATTTTTGTAAGGAATCTTCCAAAGTCCCTACAGCACAAAGCTATCGTAGGCAATTTGGAGTCCCTCGTGCACTGGAGGACATGTTCCAAAGAAAGGACCAAAATAATAATTTGAAAACAAAACAAAAGAACACACTCGGATAACTGAGCTTTCAAAGAGGGTTTGTTTGGGTTTCTTTCCTTTCCCTTTCACTTGTGTGCACGTGTGTGTGTGTGTATATATTTTGTAAGGTGGAGCTTCAAAAGGAAAACATGGTTAGAGGAGCTCTTTAAGACCAGAAATTCCAGAGTAGTTAAGTAAACCAAAGCTCTAAAGGAGACAAAAGCTGCTTTCTTGTGTTTCAAGAGAAGTTTAAAAGTTTGTGATTCATCCTGTAACTAATGCCGTTAACTAGAGTATATAATTTGACTTAAATTAAGTTTTCATTTGAGAAATATTTTCATTTTCTTTAAAAGAATATAGTTTTCTTCCAAGAACTTGGACCAACATTGATTTTTATTTTGTAGGAAATATATAAATTCCCAGTTTGTATATCATGTAACTAGTTTACATGCATAAAATATACATTAGTTTAACTATTTTTGTATATATATCCTTGTAAAACCTTTCAATGTGCTTCTGTCTTTTAGTCTTTAGAATTACTTGTGGTTTTGTGTTTCAGTGTTTGATTCCCTTGATTGTTGAAGAAAAGAATTGGGAAATGTAGATTTATTTATCTAAAGAAGAAGCTACTTGCTATCATCCTAAGTTATTTAATATTAAATAAGTCGGAAGTTTCATTTAACCTTAGATGCTATAATCTGCTTTTTTCAATAAAGACATTTTGTAGTTATGTTTGATTTTGTAGTTTGTTGTATATACTTATTTTTTTTAATCTAGGTGGGCACTAAAACAATTTTCAGCAGACCCTTGTATTGCCTACAGAAATGCCTAACTGATATTAATTGATTGCAGCTGCATTCATGAAAGATTTTGGTCATCCAGTGCAAGTGTTACTAATTAAGGTCTAAAATATGCCTACAGCTAATGTTTTACAGCTGCACTTAGAAAAGAATTTAGCCACTCTGGCGATTTTTAATTAAGCTGTAACCAGTCTGGCTAGTTCACGTGTAGGACAGTCAGTATTGAGGAACATTCAGACTCCCAGTATTGTTTGGAGTGTTCCAGAAGAGAAGTACTTGCCTGGGCTATAACTTGCACAGCTTTAAGCACTCGGACCTTGGTCTGGGGAATTGTCTCAATTTTCTTGCTGTGTCACAGTAATTTAGAAACCACGGCCAGAGCTCTGATAGGATTGAGAAGATGCTTTTTTTAATATATTTTTTACCTTTCTGAAGCTCTTTGCCACTCCTTCGTCTCCAGCTTCATGGCACGGGTGGGAGCTTGGTCACGTTTACCTTCAGCTCACAGTGGTCAGCACTGGTATCTCATCTCCAGCTGTGGCCTAAAGTGAAAGTGGATGCCTAGGGAAAGCATACAAGAACCAGTTTCTTCCTGGTTTCCTCATATTCAGTGGGTTTCCTTCCCATTAAGCTGGTCAGTCTGCCAGCCTTGTGGCTGCTCTTTCCTCCCGTGACTCACAGAAGCCAAATATCCAGGAGCTGCTACTGCAAGTGTGATGCCACCCTCTCCTCAAAGAGGCTGCTCTGCAGCTTTGCCACCCTGACTTTGCAAAGTACAAACGTCTTCACATTTGGAAATTAAACTTACTGGTGGTTTTCACACAATGGCTATATTTTGGCTAATTTTTCTTTTGCACAGTCTGAATGGAAAGAGTTACAAATGCCACAATCGTTTTAGGGACACAGTCTGCACTTCTGTGCTTTGAAACAGATGTACCATGCTTCTATAGGGCCTTCACATACATGCTATTTTCTCATGTACGTAATATTTTTAA